CTAATTTTTGAAATACAACTAAATTAAAAATTAATTTGAAATACCCATTAATCAATACTTAACTCAATTATTCACACACATATATATATATATAAACTTTTAAATGGTTAAATTACAACCTAGAAATGCATACATATTTTTTGTATTTTGTTTGATAATGATTAAATGCAAAATGGACAGACCCACAAATGACTAACAACACATGTCACGGAAAACTCGAACAATTGTATAGTGAAGTCATTTGTCACTATTTTTCTTTTCTTTTGGAGCGATTGTCTGTGAAGCAAAAATCACGTGCTTANGAAAAATCACGTGCTTACACCACCTTGCTAGTCGATCATTAAGGACAGGTTTTGACATTACGAACTTGATGGGATTTGCTCTAGAAACCAAACGAACGACATGAGCTTGAAAGTAGTGCTTCAACTTTTGGATTGAGAAGACTAGCGCTAAACATAACTTTTCAATTGGCGAATAATTCAACTCATTTGGTGTCATCATCCTTCTCAAGTAGTAAAGGTAGTTTTCTTTCCCTTCACTATTTTCTTGGGCCAATAGTGCTCCAACAGACCGTTCTTCTGTTGAAATGTATAGTTCATCGGTTTTCCAAGTATATGGGCAGCCAGAACAGGAGGCTTCATCAAGTAAAATTTCTCTCAAAGGCATTGCTACAGGCTTGATCCCATTTTAAAGGGACACCTTTCTTCATAAGGCGACTGAATGGTTGGCACCTCCCAGCTAGGTTTGAGATGAATCTCCTAAGGTACGCTAACTTTCCCTGCAGACTTTTAAATTCGTGAATGTCCTGAGGCTCAGGCATTTTCAGGATTGCATCTACTTTGGCTTGATCAATTTCAATCCCTCGATGTCGAATAATGAAACCAAGGAACTTTCCGGAAGTAACTCCAAAGGCGCATTTCAATGGATTCATCCTAAGTTGGTACCTACGGAGCAACTCAAACACCATTCTCAAGTCTTTCAAGTGGTCGCCCTTCTCTCTTGATTTTACCACCAAGTCGTCAACATAGCATTCGACATTCTTGTAGAGAAGATCGTTAAAAATATTCTGCATAGCCCTTTGGTAGGTAGAACCAGCATTTTTCAAGCCAAAAGGCATTACCTTATAGCAATAAATACCCTTGGGGTACGGAATGTAGTAAGCTCTTCATCTTTTGGCGCCATGCAAATTTGGTTATAGCCTGATGAACCGTACATAAATGGCATTGCCTCGTACCCAGTAGTAGCATCGATCATCAGTTCTAGAATGGGAAGCGGGAACTCATCTTTCAGACACACATTGTTAAGATCCCTAAAGTCAACGCACACTCGAATCTGGCCATTTTTCTTCCTTACAGGGACAATACTTAAAACCCATGTTGGGTATTTAACTTTACGAATAAAGCCAGCTTCGATGAGTTTGTTAACTTCGGTTTCAATCAAGGGAACCAAGTTCGACCTAAAACGCCTTTGAGCTTGTTTAACAGGGCGAGCACCATTTTTGACTGCAAGGTGATGGACTGCTACTTTTGGGTCTAAGCCAGGCATCTCTTTGTAACTCCAAGCGAAGACGTCACCGAACTCCTTGAGTAACTCAATATAAGTGATTTCTTTATCAGCTCTAGTAAAGCACTTAGGTAGGTGGGTCTTGGATCTTCATCGGTGCCAAGGTTAACTTCTTTTAAGGCATCAACTATTATCTTCACTCCTTCTTCAAGTTCAGGTGGAGCATCCTTCGCATCCTCATCTTCTTGAGGGTCCCCATCGTGAAGGATATGTGATAACACGGTGAAACATCCTCTAATTCCGAATTATACTCCATTGAAGATGGAACGACATTCTCGACTTGTATAGTTACATGATACGAAGAACCCACACTTTCTCCATCTTCGTCACATTCCTTAGTGTAGACCACAGTATATGGCTTTACCTTCAGTACTTATTTACATGAAACCATAAGTTTTGTTTGTCGCCTCATTCTAGAAGGAACCAAACTTTGGAAATCCTTAGAGATCTCCTGGATTTTGGGTGAAGCGGGTGTTCTTATGCTTTGAAAATTTCTCTGGAACTTGTTCCCCTTCTTTAATAGACCCAATCTTTCAAACACGGAGGTCCTCACAGGTGATTTTCCAAGTCGATCAAAGATAAAAGTCTTGTTAGAAGTGGCTAATTCATCTTCTACAATGATATAATTGTTGCTCGCCCTTCTTATTGAGATACGCATTGGTGATGGCTGCTTGTATCCCAAACCTTCACGTGGTTGCCAAGTTGCAGCTTCTGATGGGAGCTTCACTAACTTTGACGGCTCATTGGGATTGTATCCAACTTTTGCAAATAGCTTGTAAGCATTAAGGTCAAAACCTTCATTTGTTCGCTTTGTAGGGAGTGCCACATTCTGTAAATGATTTTGGGCTACAAACCCTGCAAGTGGCTTCGAGGACAACTTTACTACCTCAATTTATTTTACCGGAAGAGTTAACTCTTTTAGCGTGTTAGTTTGGAGATTAGATGATTCGTCCTCGTCTTTCTTCCTTTTAGGGAAATATTGGAGCGCAGGACTCACTTTCTTGCCATAAGACGCAATACCCCCTCTATAAGATTTATTTGCATTGGGTTGTACCTCTTCGGTAACATCTTTGACTCTACCAGTAGTCACTTCGGCTCTCTTAGTTGTGGGCTCATCATTTTTGCTTTTTATGACATCATCGACTTTTAGCTCCTTCACAATGCGGTTCTTCAAGTAGAACTTTGCATCGGCGAAGTGTGACTTAGCCTCGGTGAATGGCTCATCATCAGCAACTAGCTTCTTCTCAGCCTCACCCTCGTAGTATTTCAAACATTGATGGTAGGTAGATGGAACCACTTTATTCTCATGTATTCAAGGCCTTCCAAGCAAGACATTGTATGAAGTCTTCGCGTCGATTACATGTAGCCATGCACTTGATTGCATATCTTCAATGGTGATTTCCAGCCTGATCGTGCTTATGGCTCTTTTCCCCCTTGGTTGAATCCATAGATCATTACACGACTTTCTGAGAATTTGTTCATGGGAATACCAAGTTCTTTCACAGTGCAGATTGGCAAAATATTCACTGAGGATCCTCCATCAACCAAAATTTGATTTACCCTTTCATCACACATATAGCCAACTAGGTACAATAGGCAGTTATGAAGAGTGTCACCTAGCAGAAGATCGTCATTTATGAACGTGACTCTTTTTCCACAAGCATTAACTTCTTGAGGAGTGAACTCAATGAGCTTTTCTGAAAATGGTGCCAATGGTAGGTCATCACTCTTTTCTTCCCCTTTATCAGCATTGCAACAAGAGGCCTCAATACCATCATGGGAAATATTTGTGCAGAACCAAGATGGCAAGAAATCCTCCAAGGTCATTGTACGTCGTGGCTTTTGTGTGGTGCATATCCACTTTTGCTTTCTTCAAATGCCTAACTGGATTCTTTTTCATTGGTCTTTTTACATCTTCCTTGTTGGTTTTTCTATTGATTCTTTTCGTAGGCTCCTTTTGCGGTGCCTACGATGAGTCACCAATGTCCAACCTTCATCATCATTAGTTTGATCGTCTTCAACTTTGTTGTTCTTCAGTAATTCTTCATTTTTGATTCCTTTTAAACTGCATAATTCATCTAGACTGAATGAGCCAAAGGTGATAGAGACTTGGTTCGTGCTTGCTTTTTCATCTTCAAGTACGATCTTCTTTTCACTGACCAAGTCCATAACTTTGTCTTTGAAGACAAAGCACTTCTCTAGAGGGTGGTTTACAAGTCGGTGATATTTGCAGTAATTTGGGTCATTCATTTTTCCAGCTTCATTTGGTCGCTTCATCTCTGGAAGCTTAATGAGATTCAACTCGAGGAGTTCTTCGAAAATGGCTGGCAAATCAGAATCCAGAAATGGGTACTCTTTCTCTTGCATTTCTTTTAGAGTCAACTTTCCACTTGGCTTATCTTGAAAAGAAGTGGATTTCATACTCGGCTTCTTGCTCACCTTCGTCGTGAACTTCACAGGTGACGTGTTGACATTCATAGCTTCTTTGCTTTCAGACTTGGGTGCTTGTCATTCCCTTTGCAAGGTTCATAGATGGGCAGCCTTTCATTTCAAGTAGAGGCCATGCTCAATTCCATGTCATGGGCACGAGTTGCAAGTTCGTCAAATGTGTCAGGCTTGATACCTTGAAAGATGTAGAGCAATCCCCAATGCATGCCTTGGATGCACATCTGTATGCCTGAAGCTTTACTAAGCCTGTCTTTGCAGTTGAGGCTTGCATTCCTCCAACGATTGATAAAGTCGNGCTAAAGACATTATTTCTCATATGTTGATGTATGTGTAGCAAGAATCGAGAAAATTAATTAATCTATTATCTATTAAAAGATCTATATGTGAGAAATTTTACTGCAAAACATGACAATTATTTACTTTCAAAAAATAATATTTTCTCTATATAAATCTTACCTCAATGATTAAGATAACAAATAAATTACTCCTAAATAACTTCAATAGAAGAATAGAAAACTCAAAAAAAATACCATGAATATGTCTATACAGCTTTTTCATGGCAAAAAAATATAATTTTATATAATTATTAATATTATTACTTTTGAATATATTTTAAATTATACACATAATATGAAGAAGTTTATGAGATAATTCTTAATTATACGGATAATTGATTAATTATTAATTTAAGTTGATAATTGTAAGAAGTGTCTTGTCCACGTGGGACAATGACAATTTTGTTATGATAAATATCACACTATGGTGGATGTCTACTCTTCTTCCATGATTTTCATCTCAAATGCTTAATGACATATTCAAGGATATATTTTGTATGTTCAATGATATATTCCATGACATATTTTCTTCACTTTTTATGCCTATATAAAGGCCTTGTAATAGATAGGAAAATACACACAATTGAAGAAGAAAATCTCTTCCTTTCTCTCTATCTCTATTTCTTGTTCATGTTTTACTAAATTGTATTTATTTCTTGTTCATGTTTTACTAAATTACTTTTATTTTATAACACGTTATTAGCACGAAGTATCTAACCTCAAGGTTGAACTCCACTTCATACGAGGTATATCTCTATGATTTACTGTCAAAATTATCAAGCCTAATAATTCTTTAGTTTTTTTTCCAGATATACATATGAGTATATTCCGCCAAATGAATATTGGTTCCTTTATTTATTTATTTTTCTTGTGATGTTTCATCATAATATAAACTTGAACATCATTTTTTTATTCATGAATATAGTACTGACAAAGATCGATGAACAAAAGTGTAAATCTTTTGGAAAATAGAAATAATCCTTCTTACACAATGCAAAACAGAAATAATCATGAATCTCATGACGTTATAGTAGATATTCCTAGTAATAATCTCATAGCTAAGAGGAGCTAATAAAATTTCATTATCCAGTACATTGGGAACAATAGATGTATAGACGAATATACCATTATCATTCATTTTGGATTGGTATATTTCACCTAAATATCATACAGAATCATAAGAGTTTAGTGTAATCGTTTCTTTACACTATTATCCTAATAATTTCTAATTATTTATCTTCTTTGATAGTCTTCACTATGTCGAACTTGTCAAAGCTTTAGTTTGTGGCACTTGATATTTCTGGAAAGAACTATCTATCATGGGTTCTCGATGTTGAGATTCACTTGGATGCTAAAGGCCTTGGTAACACCATTACTCATGGTAATGAGGCATCAAGCCAGGACAAAGCGAAGGCCGTGATTTTTCTTCGTCGTCATTTGGATGAAGGTTTGAAGGTTGAATATTTAACAGTGAAAGATCCACTTGAATTGTGGACTGGCCTGAAGGAAAAGTATGATCACCTTAAGGCTACAATATTGCCAAGGGCTCGATATGAGTGGATTCACTTACGGTTGCAAGATTTTAAGACCGTAAGTGAGTATAACTCTACTGTATTTCGAATAACTTCCCAATTGAAATTATGTGGGGAAGTTATGAATGATGAGGATTTACTGGAAAAGACTCTTACGACTTTTCATGCCTCAAATATGGTATTACAGCAGCAATACCGTGAAAGGGGTTTTAAAAAGTATTCTGAATTGATCTCATGCCTTCTGGTGGCTGAGCAACATAATACCCTTTTGCTGAAAATCATGAACCTCGTCCCACAGGGTCAACTCCGCTTCCTGAAGCGAATATGAAAGCTAGACGTGATAAGTCTGGAAAAAGATAGAATAATAATCATGGTCATATGAATGTACGTGGGTATGGCAATGATAAGAGACGATATAATAGTCGTCATCGTGGTGGCCATGGCAAACGAGAAAATAATATGAGTTATCAAAACAATCCTTCACGAGGCAAAAGCGGTAACTGTCACCGATGTGGCATGAAAGGTCATTGGAAAATTGAATGTCGTGCACCTGAGCATTTTGTCAGGCTTTATCAAAACTCTTTTAAAAGAAAGGCAAATAATGTTGGAGCATCTTCTGTTAATGCTCCAGTGGAGTCACATTTGACCTTTAAAAATGATTTTGAGGCTGGGCCTTCAAACAAAAATGATGACAATGCCGATGCAAATCTTACTTTGAATGATGATGATTTTTAAGACCTCGATGATATTACTCATTTGGAAGTTGAAGACTTCTTTGGAGATCAAAACTAATGTTTGATCATTTTACTGGGGAATGCAATTATGTTGTTATTTTTTTCGGTGTTTTTGTCTCGTCTGAAGTTGTTTTTATTTTCAAGTAGTACTTAAGTTGTCTTATGTTGTCATTGGTGATGTTAGTTGTTTCTGTATTTCTCATGATGTATTTTTTTTATGAGGAAATTAAAATTTCTCAGTCTTCAATTGGATCCAAGATGAGTAATGAAGACTTATGTCTTTTGGATAGTGCTACAACTCACACAATATTAAGAGAAAAGAAATTTTTTTCTTATTTGGTTATGAAAAAGGCCTATGTTAATACAATATCCGGTAGTACAAAGTTGATTGAGGGCTCTGGAAGAGCGGCCTTATTATTACCCGGAGGAATGATATTAACTATTGATAATGCATTGTATTGTAGTAAGTCTCAAAGAAACATGTTGAGTTTCAAAGCTATTCGCCAAAATAGCTACCATGTTGAGACATCAAACGAAGGAAAGGTTGAATACCTTTATGTTACTACAATAAAAGCGGGTAAAAGATATGTGCACGAAAAATTGCCCGCATTTTCTTCTGGATTGTACCACACAAACATTGGTGTGGTTGAATCACATGCCATAGTAAACAAAAGGTTTACTACTTCTAATGATTTTATCATTTGGCATGACCGATTGGGCCATCCTGGTTCTAACATGATGCGCAGAATAATAGAGAATTAAAATGGGCACACATTAAAGAACAAGAAGATTCTTCAATTTAAGGAATTCTCATTTGCTGCTTGTTCTCAAGGAAAATTGGTTATTAAACCAACATCAGTTAAAGTTGGGATTGAATTCCCTGCATTTCTGGAATGTATACAAGGTGATATATGTGGGCCTATACACCCTCCATGTGGACCATTCAAGTATTTTATGGTCTTGATAGACACATCTACAAGATGATCACATGTGTGCTTATTGTCAACTCGTAATATGGTATTTGCGAGATTGTTGGCCCAAATAATAAGGTTAAGAGCACAATTTCCAGATTATGCAATTAAGACAATTCGTCTTGATAATGCTGGTGAATTTACATCTCAGGCCTTTATTGACTATTGTATGGCCACTGGAATAAAAGTTGAGCATCCGGTTACTCATGTTCATACTCAAAATGGTCTAGCAGAATCATTGATTAAGCGCCTCCAACTAATAGCTAGACCATTGCTAATGAGGACAAAACTTCCCCTTTCAGTCTGGGGACAAGCTGTTTTGCATGCAGCAGCACTTGTGTGCATAAGGCCAACTAGTTATCATAAAGTCTCCCCATTACAATTGGCTTTTGGTCAGGAGCCAAATATTTCCCATCTAAGAATTTTTGGATGTGCAGTATATGTTCCAATTGCTCCACCAAAATGCACAAAGATGGGTCCCCAAAGAATGTTGGGAGTATATGTTGGTTATGAATCTCTTTCTATTATTAAATATTTGAAGCCTATGACAGGAGATTTATTTACACCCGGATTTGTTAATTGTCATTTTGATGAATCAGTTTTTCCAACATTAGGGGGAGAAAATAAACAGCTAGAAAAAGAGATAGATTGGAACATATTATCTCTATCTCATTTATATCCTTGCACAAATCAATGTGAATAAGAAGTTCAAAAGATCATTTATATGCAAAACGTTGCAAATCAATTGCCAGATGCATTTACTAACCTTCCACGGGTTACTAAATAGCATATTCTAGCTGTAAATGCTCCAATTCGAGTTGATGTCCCAACTGGACAGTATGATGATGCAAATGAGTCTAGGCCACGCCTTAAACGTGGTAGACCAATTGGTTCCAAGGATAAGAATCCCCGAAAAAGGAAAGGAGCAAATGATCAAGTTGATCATAACATAGCAATTGATAGGACCTCACAGGAGGTTCTAGTACCTGGAAATGATGAAAATGAAGAGATATCAATAAGTTATGTCTCTATGGGAAAAAGGTGGAACCGAAATAACGTTGTTGTTAACAACAATTTTGCATATAATGTTGCAGTTGAAATAATGCAACAAGATGAGGATCTTGAGCCAAAATCTGTCGATGAATGTAGACAGAGAAATGATTGGCCAAAATGGAAAAATGCAATTCAAACGGAATTGGCTTCACTCGAAAAACGTGAAGTTTTTGGACCAATAGTCTGAACGCTTGAAGGTGTCAAGCCAGTGGGTTACAAATGGGTTTTTGTGCGAAAACGAAATGAGAAAGGTGAAGTCGTAAGATATAAAGCACGGCTTGTGGCACATGATTTTAACAAAGGCCTGACATTGATTATATGGAGACATATTCTCCTGTGGTAGATGCAATTACCTTCAGGTATCTAATAAATCTGGCAGTCCATGAAAAACTTGATATGCGGTTGATGGATGTTGTCACAACCTACTTATATGGCTCACTGGACAATGAATTTTTATGAAAATTCCTGAAGGATTTAAAGTTCCTGAAGCACATAAAAGTTTAAGAGAAACTTGTTCAATAAAGCTTCAGAAATCCTTATACGGATTGAAGCAATCAGGGAGGATGTGGTACGTACAATCGCTTTAGCGAGTATTTGCTAAATGAAGGGTACAAAAATGACCCTATTTGCCCTTGTGTCTTTACTAAGAGGTCTGGATCTGAATTTGTCATCATAGTTGTGTATGTTGATGACTTGAATATCATTGG